TTAGACCTAACTTATCAAGGGCTAATTTTATTTTCTCTGTCCATCTCGAATTGTTCGAACTCTGTAAGAAACTATCAGCTATTGTCTGATCTGAGAGTTTTGATTTATCAGTATCAGCACGATTCATGTATTTTATCCAAAATTTGATTGCCCTTAATTTTGCKTAAACTCTTATTGTGAAGAGCCCTAATTCTGCTCGGCATGCGTTATTACACGCTTTTTTACTTACTCCTAAAAGCATTTTACCAAATTTTATTTGCACTTTTTCTAGTGGATCTAGATTTAGATTTTTCTTTGTTTCCACACCCCAGACCTCGCTACCATATAACATGTAAGGATGTAAGGAGGATGCATGTAAGGAGCATAAGAGGAAAAGATGAAAGGATAGAATTTGAAAAAAAGGAAGAAAGGATGGAAGAAAGGAAGAAAAGGGAGGAAATAAAATAGGAAAAAGAGGAAGGAGGGAAGAAGGGAGAAGGAAAAAAATAAAGGGAGAGACGAACGAGCTTAATATTTACCATCAGCACATTCACATCAGAGTTTAAGGGTCGCACATCCATGCCAAACAAAGAGTCGATATTCAGTTCACGTGCAGCTCTGCCAATTCGTTGCGCTAGGGTAACTTTTGGGTTGTAGTTCTGTGAAATGCTCCATCCGCCATATTCTTCGATCAAATCTTTGAGGGGCTGTAATCCTAGGGCATCTATTGCGGTGGTGTTCAGGCAAGAGTAGTACATGCGTACCATTTTCATCACAGCGTCGTTCTAAAAAAAACAGAAAGAAATAAATGTCTTACAACTTAATGTAGAGACGTTATTTATCATCCTAAAGTCGGTCTGGATATGGCATTACGGACCGATAAAACTTGTTTAAATTTGTGTAAAGTCATTCTGAAGTGTATACAAGAGGCTACAAGGGACTGAAAATCTCTATTATTCTATATCACATGGCTGTCGCATAAGAAGGGTTCATTTTACTGTTCTTAAAACATTATTATTTAAAAACGATGCGTCACTTTTAAATAAACTTGACCATTCAGCATCTTATAGATTGTTCGTTGCCAAGAAACTGTAAACAATCCGAATAACATTCATTGTTGTCTACAAACTGTCAAAGTCCATTTTTCTCATACTCTGATTGGGCGAGAGGATATTACGTGAACGTGAACAAGTTTCGATATTCTCCCGGTAACGGCTCTCAGCGGGCAACAATTGACCAGTGATCGTTGACCAGTAATAACAATAGCGGAAGTGATTTCCCCAGAAATGTAAGTCTAAACTTTTAAAAATCAAATAATTAACAAACAAAAAAAAAATTGCTTCGTGTTCTTTGACAGTTTGTACATAACAAAATACTTATTGACTGGAACCTCGGGAAGGCAGTGGGTTTTGTGGTCCCGAGACGGCGAAGATTCCCGAGGTGAACCACAAAACACATTCTTATATAGCTACGAAATTTTCCGATATAACGAACACATTCTCATTGGTTGGAAGATGACCAGGTGACACTAGTTAAATCTAAATGTATCCCGACTGGGAAATAAGTTACTAATTTCCCGCACGTGAAATAAGTTCCACGTGACGATAACAGATGAAAAAGTGCACTTGACCAGAACGTTAAAATCGCTGATGGCGTGATATTTTGCACCAATCAAGAAAAACAGAGCGGGAGCAGATATATTGCTTGAATTTTCAGTACAAATGGAACTCGAAGCGAAACAATAGAGATTTTCCAGTGTTTCTACAGAGAAATTACAGACTTTTATCGAGAAAAAGAATTCGGAAAATACGAAAAAAAAAMCGACTAAAAATGCTACTCTCCTCGCTTTTTGGTAGAGAAATACAAGACCCTATGTGAGTTGTATTAGTAAAATTATGGTCAGTTTTCATGCATTATTAACTTGCTAAATAAAKTTATTATTTTGTAAACTGCGATTTCCCCTCAAAATGCGCAAAGCTTTCCCCTCCCCCAGAACCTACAAATTATGAATGGTCCCTTATGTATGATTAAAAAACATAGAGGTATTGTATTCTACCTTTGGATAATTCAGACGAGCCCATTCCAAAGTTTTTTTGAGGACGTGGATGTTTTTGTTCCACACGATGCTCCTCGTTGTACGTACGTTGTACTTCAAGGCTTGTCTGCGTTGCCAACCACCACACGCATAGGCATGGAAGTCTTCGCAGGGGTCGACGCTCTTATTCATGTTTAGTGCCATTCCTGTTTTTTATTCAAATAAACAAACACACACAAAGACATGGATTAATTAATGGCATGAATTGCACAAAGAAAACCACAAAGGGACAGGTCTGCTTTTGCAGGAGACAATATTTTGATAAATTTTTAATAACTATAATTATATCAAATTTTACTAGTCATAGTAATGTTTGAAATATCCATATTTATTCTAATTTATACTTACATTTGTAAATTATCTATTATATATTCATTGTTTACAGGGCCCCTCTGGATATCAGCCAGGTAGCTGAATGGGCCACCCTGTCTAATTAAAGTCTTTGATTGATTGGTAATATCTCTAGTCAAAGCATTTAAGAAATGTTTATACAGCGCAATGAACCAGATGCAACCCAGCTTGGAATTAATAAAAAAATTATGTTAAAAAACAACAACAACAGCAACAACAAGAAAAAAACTTTACAAAATGCCAAAGCTTAAAGCAAAGCCAATGACTCAAACTTAAGTTTAATTCTTTTAAATTGCATATATTAATATAGTTTCTTGGTCTCTCAAAAGTATACTCACGGAATTTGGTTTCACTTCGGGCTAGAAGGGCTAAAAAATGTCTCATTTTCTCAAGATATGATTTTTTAAATATTCATGAAGCCGCAATTTTGATACTATTTTTAGAAACAACTGACGGCTTCATGAATATTCAAAAAATCATATCTTTTGGTTCCCAAATCAGAAATGAACAAGTTTTGCATTTTTGGACTCCTCGTGTGCAGTTCTTTCAAATGAGCTAGTTAGAATTTTTCATTGAGGAGTATTTCGATTTTCCGCTAAAATTGATGACGTCATTTTCCCGCCAAAAATGTCGAAATTCAAAAAAGTAAAACGATAGAGTTGTGAGATTTGTTAAACTCTTCAACGTTACCAAGTTCCAAGAAATTTTAATGAAATGCAAAAAAGTTTTTCCAAAATGAGACACTTTTTAGCCCTTCTCGGCCCGACGTGTCTTTTTTTTTAACTCGCAAAAAAGGAATATATTTTCTCACTATAACCCTTCTAAATAAGCCTGAAGCGAGATGACGTTTTACTCTCGACTCTATACCATAATAGTTTCTAAAATTCTTTCATATTAAAATTTTTGATTCCTTAGAGAATACAGGCATTACAATCGTAAAAATTGCTTGCGTACCAATAAGCCCTTTGTAGCTCAGTAATCACGTGCTTATTAATTTTCTTTTCTTTTTTTTTATTATTTTTATTTTTATTATTTTATTCATTTTTTTATCTTAACATATTAACTCTCTGTGTTCGCTCCAAGAGTTATGCTCATCGTGGAAGATTGCACAGAACATAATTACAATGCTTTTGGAGTTTTTAGGAAAAATAAAAATAAAAATAAGTAAAGAAATATATTGGAAAGAAAAAACATATATCAAGAGAATATTATTTATTACTTCATATTCTCTTGCATATATATAGAAAAAGTACAATGGAAAAGAAAATATTAATTCATTGAGAGCGAATGAATGAACATCTTGATTCCCATGAGTGAAATATACTGGTGAGCAAACACACTTTCTACAACCTGTTTTGAGAGATCGTAATAGAACTGCATTTCGTACCACACTGGTTACAATATTTACATTCAGTTCTTTACGAGTAGCGAAAAAGAATCACCAATTTAAAAAAGAAAAAACTGTGCTCACTAGTAAAAACATGTGAAAAAAAGCGCTGATACCTTAGTTCGAGAAAAGGATATGCTCTTAACAATAACGTCATCGCGCGTCACGCAACATTAGGCCTTGTAATTTTTTTCCTCCTCTAAAAACGCATTCTTTCGATGTTTGTGCAATATTTCGGAAAAGTTTTGCGTATTTTAAAAACTTACATATTTATCAAATATTTTGTATTTGTTGTACTGTTTGACAAAACACTTTGATTTGGACTCAAACTTTTCTGCAGAGGGAGCTGACCACCATTTTTTAACATTGCCCTTCTTGTCGTAGAAACGACCTACAAAAGATGCCATGAGCTTTTTAGTTATGACACATGTAGAATATTCAGTATTATTATCTTACTTTTGAAGTTCAGATCTTACCTGTTCCATCAAAACCATGCATAATTTCATGACCAATAACCGTACCTATACCACCATAATTTATGTACCTAACAAATGAAGACATTTGAAAAGATATGAGAAGTTAGGTATTGTCTCATTTCGATCCATTATCTTTAATGTACCATTACTCTCACAATCCCAAKTGCACTGTTATAGCGTGAGGTAGAAGAAGGAAGAGAAAGAAGCGGAGGGAATACATGGTCGGTTTGCGAGCCAAAACTAAAGTTACCTCGGATAATCAGGGCTGTAATACGGTGGTTGAAGAATTCCAGCCAAAAGAACTATAACAATAAAACTACAACATTAGTACTCAGTATTGTCATATTCCGTAGTACATTAGGATTTCTTGCCCAACACAGTATTACTGCATTAGTATACAAAAAAGGTAAAATAAAAATGGACCTCATCGAACTTGACACCGCGGTCCGGGACTGTACATCGAAGTCAGGCTATCGTGCCTACCTCGCGATAAATATTCATTAAAAGCTATAAAAACTTTTAGAAATATCTGAAGATGAAAATATAAATCCATATATCTAACGTAGTTTTTAAAATAATTTTCTTGAAATTTATCGTGAGCTCGACGCGGTACGGTAGCCTCACTATAATGCACGCTCATTTAGGATACCGTTTAAGTGCGATGATGCTATGTATTAACAACAACATCATCGTTGTTTTTGGTTTAAGGCATCAGGAGGGGATTTGGTCGCCTATAGACCCTAGACGATTAAAAGAAAAAAATTTTTTTTCATGTTCCAATACAACAATGCTAAAAAATATTGTTGAAAACTATGATATGCATACTCTTATGACAAAATACAGTATAGTTCGTGCAAAATTTGAGATAGTTCGTATAGGGGTTCAAATCTCCTCCTAATACCACAACGTCGGAATACTTACCTATTCCATTTTGAAAAGGACTGTAGTAACCATTCACACTGGCAGGACTAAGTACCCATCTTTAAATTATATACAATAAAGAAACAAGGCTGTTTTACGCTTTTTGAACAGACCTAGATCATGGGGATCAAAGGGAACATACTTAGGATGCCTTGACCTAGACCTGGAGTCAGGTAAATTCAAGCTCAATGAAGTAGTTTAAATCTCTATTTAATAAATAGATTTGATGTCAATGAATACAAAGATGAAAAGGCGTTTCTTATTCTTTTTTGTTCACTGGGCGCTCGAACTTTTTTAAAGTTCTCATTCTGAGAATATGATGATTGGCGGCTTTCATGTTCTTACTTTAGTCCTAGACTTAGGTATAATAAACATATAATAATAATAATAATAATAATAATAATGATAATAATAATTTTAATGTTTCTATAGCGCAAAAATGCATTTAGGTATATGATCTAATGCGCTTTACAAAAAATGGTGAAAAAATGAATAAATAATTATAATATATTGATGATATTTATTGTAAATTCAAGGAATCGATGTTGTTACCTATATTTTTGTCAAATAAATTTTAAATGAATACGTACGATGATGAAAAGGCTTTTCTTACTCTTTTTTGTCCACTGGACGCTCGAATTTTTTTAAAGTTCTCATTCTGAGAAAATGATTGGCAGCTTTCATGTTGTCCATCAGACTGTCTGTTACTTTGAGCTGAAGAGTAACAAAGAAGATAATAACCAATATATCTATCATCAACGTACCGTACTGTTGGACATCTAAACATATATACTGGTTGATGTCATTCAATTGGTTTATAGTTGGTATGGGTGACATAGTGATTTTTCGCACCCCCACTCACCGCTGTGGTTCGTGTTCGAGCCTCGGCTCGGTGCGTATATCATGTCATTTGCCAAGTTTGTTCAATGTGTTGTTGTCCGCGGTGCCACAAGGATTTTTTTCCTCCGACGGTCCCCTACTTTTCCTCCCTCCATAAAACTCAATATGTAAATTGAAAGTAGGATATTCAATGTAGTGGTAGTGTATGTAACTGTCAGTGGGCCAAATTGGAAACCAGTTTACATATACTGAATTTGCATCTCATTATAAAAAAGGGATATAGTTATCAGAATTGTTATATATAATTACCGAATCATACTGTGCCTTGAGTTTCGCAGGATCCTTGATGTACGCTGGATATCCAATTTCCCCAATGGCGATTGCCAGCGCCTATTAAAGTGCAATGACATTCGTGAAGTAAGATGGGAAAAAAGCATACGCCCAGATGGGATAGGGGTGGGAGGGGGTGGGGGAGACTGCAACAACAGTATACGTTAGAAAAGAGTTGGGTTAGGAAGCGTATCACGTTGCATGGAATGTCTTGATTTAGACAATCCTTCTAAATAACCATTTGAAAGATCTCGATGGGCGTTCTAATAGGCCAAGAGACAGTGTTATGAAGCAAGATTGTGAATAATAYYTACCATTCTTATAGCCACAACTTAAACCAACACTATCTGTTTTTATCAAAMCCTAGCACCACGTAGTGACCTTATCTAGCCACAAAATGTAAATAGGAATGAGATTTAGATATATATAGACGAACTTAGACAGTTCTTACACACACTGAATCGACTTAACTTTGGAGTTAGAAGGCCGAGTCTAAGGCTGTAGCTGTAGCTGAACTGGAAAGTACGGACCTAAGTTAGGACGAATGGCCTAGTAAGGAAATCCTTCTTAAACCACACCTACTAAGGGAACGTCTTTCTAGTCAGCTTCAGTGCATCTTAGGCTGGTAGCAAACCTCTCGTATTTGTAAAGCTAACTAGTCTCCTAAAGGACAAGTAGAATAAAGAGTGGTACTCCAGGCGATCCCGGAGCTATTTCAGCCCAATTCTAACATTGGTGGATAACCTAACTGGAGTTACCAACTCGCTACCTGTCTTCTTGTCCTGAACGAATGAGTATGTCACTTCCGTTGTTTGGGCAAGGTATCATTACGTATGTTAAGTGGGACCCCTTATGCCTTATTTTGGCAATGGGGGAATGTTACGAGCCAAAAAGAATTGGAGTAATGACTATTAGAGTTAAAGTCAAAATTATGTATCTTAACTGTATCTATATCTTAATAATACCTTATAATCTTTATCTATACATCTCTTATTTACTCAGTATTAACGTAACTTTTGTAGAATGGCGTGGGAAATTCCCACGGGTTTAGAATATATAAAGGGTAGATCTGAAACATGTAAARTAGATGAAGTAGACGAAGAGCTGACGAGTAATAAAAAACAGTTCACCCGGTACCTCTCTCTTGAGCGAGTCCTCAATTTACCTTTACTTGGCACACAAAAAAATCATTGTGCTATGTCTATAACATAGCAGTAACATTTTTAAAAGAGGAAAATAAAACGTGATCTGGCCGTATAAACGGCACAACATTCGTGTTGGCGTCTTATTTTTGATGACAATGTGACAAGGTTACTCATTACTCGAATATTTCATGTGATACCTTTTCCTTTGCCTTCTCCTGAGTTTCTTTGTCCATCCAAGTTTGAGTTGGTAGTTTCTGGATAAATGAAGTTCGGGCGTTTTCAATCATTTCTATGATCTGTAGAGAGACACGCATCTAAAATAAAAGTTATGTATCGTGTACTGTGTGTGTGTGTGAGTGAGTGTGTGTTAGCTTTCATCGTTATGGTAATGAGGCAGGTATTAAAATAATGGAAAAAATAAAAAAAAGAAAGCTGTATAGCAACAACAAAGGGAATTTGAAATAAAAAACAATCGAACGAGCTTTTTAATGGGCATTAGCAATAAATTTTGATAAGACCAGAATCTTAGTCATGTTCCATTTTGAGAGTTAGCAGTACTCTGACGTAATCAGCTGTAAAGTTGTTTCAGGGTTCAATCTGTGAGTTAGCTGTGCCCTGACCTAGATAATCCCAGAAGCTTAGGGTTCGATCTACGGGTTAGCAATGTCCTGACTTAGATCAGCTCAGGGGCTATTTAAGGCTCAATATGTGAGATAGCCGTGCTCTTACTTCAATCAGTCCAGAAGTCATTTACCTTAAATCTTGCATACTCATTGAAATTTACGCTCACGTACAGTAGGCCGAGTGGCATGTCAAAGGGTTTAAACATGACACGGATGCACTGCTGCCATCGTGGTATAACGGTGTTAATCAAAAAATCTCCAGTTGCAGGTCGGTATTGATCGGGAAGAGCACCAACGTATTGACGTACAATTTGCCACATGATGTAGTCAGCTATAAGTGCGTGATTGCTATAAAGCAGGGGATGAAGTAGACGTTCATTTCATCTTTTGGGGAAAATAATTTGAAAGATATGGGGAGGATAAAATAGAATGAACAGATTAATGGATATATATATATGTATGGAAAAGGTTCAATGTTTGTATGAATGCACACATGCAAGCATGGCATCAAAATTAATGCATTGATGAAATAGACCGAAGAGTCGATGGATAAATGGATAATGTGGAATGGAATGGAAGGGAATAGAATAAAAACGAATGATCGAAAGCTGAATGGATGTGGTAGTTGCATGGGGATTTATAGATGGTTGGATTAGTGGATGAATGAAAAGAACTAATGGATGGACGCATGGATGCATGGATGCATATTTGAGAAGCATTCAAAACAAAATAACTCACGTTTTGCTATACAACAGACTAATTTCTTTAAAGAAGACTATGTTTTTAGGCATAGGAAATATTGGTTCATTTCCAGTAAACTGCCTGTCAAACAGAACATCTAAAACCTCCTTTAGCACAGGCCCCTAAAGCAACAGAAAAGAAAACGTGAATTAATTACAAGGCATGCGTCTTGCTGTGTTGTGCTGTGCTGTGCTGTGCTGTGCTGTGCTGTG